CCTGTTTGCTTGGTATTAACAGGTATATTCAGCTCAGCTCTAAATTAGGGACGAAAATCACTCCTTCTCAAAGCATCCAGGCTTGCATCACCGACAGCTTTGTCGTTTTACATTCAAAGGAGTTTGCAGAAGAAGCTGGCAGCCACAGAAGGACGTGCACTTTACTTGCCCATTGCAAGTCCCTTAATGCAGCATTTGCCCACCACCCTCTGCCTCCAGGCTCTGCTCAGTGAAGCCCATTTGTGACAAGCCATGAGAAACAACCCCATCCTAGCTCCTGATGAAGCTGACAGCCCTCGTGGCAGGCAGGACAATGAATACTTCTGGTCATGACGCTTTCTGGCTGCTTTTCTACAGCGACACGTCCCCTCGCTGCAAATGGCCCATGCTCTTAGCCAGGCCTCTCACATCCGCAGCCCCAGCAGGCTCCTGCCCCGAGCTGACACCCCTGCAGCGTCCTTCTGGGAGAAGTCAAATGTTTCCCTTAGGGTTTCCCAGGCACTCTCTGCACAGCCATTTGTTTGGGCACCATCCTCCTGTTGTCCAAGCTGTTTCCCTTCAGCTTGCTGTCGTGCCAGATCGTCACATGGTGTCTCAACCGTCCTCGTTTAAACCTTTTATGCTCTCCTCGCCAGGAAGCTCTTGTGAAGCATACTTTTTGGCTTGACTCCAAGCAGGGCCTTTCATATCAAATTTTCTTTTGAAATGTACTGTAATGAGATAAACTCAAGGAGTAAGTCCGAGCAGCAGGGGGTGGGATGTCACAACTAGGCAGTGCACCTCCTCCACAAAACCCATCTTCCCAGGCTTCGGGCACCTGCCCGGTGCAGGGCAGCTGAGAGAGCAGGGAACTGCTTTGCAGATGTGCAGGTGAAATCACTGCCCCAGGGATGTGGGGAAGGCCAGCCTGCTTCTGCTATGGCCTGGGCAGGGGAGAAGGGGAGACGAGGGGACAAAGAGCCCCAAGGAGAACCTTGGAGAATTGAGCTGGAACATCCTGCGGGAATGGGAATGGCAACGGGAACAGAGCTTCCTCTGGTCCCCGTCACCTCCTGCGTCCCTCCACAGCAGGAGCACCCTGTGTGTCCTCCACAGGCTCTGGCTGAGGTGGAGGGCCCGTGGACGTCTGGCTGCCCCGGCAGACTGCTCCTCTAGACGGCTACCGGCAGGGTCTAGAGCTGCCCTTCGGCTACGGCAAGCCGATACTCTCAGTTCAAACAGTTGCATCTTTTAAGCCACCACTTTTTAACACAAGTCTCTTTCGCCTGCCCATCAAGTTAGAAAAGTCAGCTTATCTCCTTCATTAAACCATTTATTTTACAAGAGCTCATTCCAGCTGTTCTTCCCAGTCCATTCCCCAGCTGTATAACTGACAAAAGAGCAGTGTCCCGGCTGCCTCGCCTTTGTTCTGGTACCAAAATCATCTCTTCTGTGGCTCTTCTGCCATGGCAGCAAATATACAACGTATGTCTGTAATTTAAAACTACCGCACTCATTATGTGACACTAATCTGCAAGAAACTATCACCCATTTCCTCACCATTACTCTTTGATTTCAGATGTTTAGGTAGCGCAAATAGGCCCTGAGTTAATAAAAGCAAACTGCTCACTAAGAATATCATATAGCAGAGTTAAATCTGAGATCTAATAATGGGGGGAAAAAATTGAAAGTAAAGACAATAAGCACTCTAGATCATGCTGTTAGAGAGATGGCAGTTTCTACATAGTCAAGGCTGCACTCTGTTTCCATTTCAGCTCCTTTATTGGCTTTGGCTTGGAAATTTGCTCAGGTCTGAAAAATTCAAGTTTTATTTTTGAAGAAAAGAAGATTGTTTTGCAAAAAGAGTTGGACAAAGTGGCATTGCTGATAGAAGCATACAAAAATCCAGACTCAAGTTCCCAAAATCATCATTTTTTTAAATGCATGGGGAGATTTACGATTCTTGTTTTTTGAGCTGTGCAGATCACATTTTCAAGTTTTTTCTCAATAATAATGAGGTCTAGAAGATTGTTTTTCCTCCCATTAAACTAAGCTCAAATAGTAATCACACAAGCTCAAGAGCTGAAAAAAGCAGCAAATGTTTCAAAACAATCACTCATTCACAGAAGAAAAACAGTACATTAAAATACTAGCACTACATTTGAAACAAAAATGAAACATAGAAACTATGAGTCAAAATGAAGGTCATCAATTTTTGAAATGTGTGGTTTCATACTTAACAAAATGTGGTTCACAATATGGGCAGTGTGAGATTTACAATGTTCCGAACTATTCATATCCTTACTTGCAAGTGTTTGGATTTTACAAATGACGTGACAAGCAAATACACTGCTTAGAAACCACGATGGGCTTTTGAAACTAATTCTTTTGTTTCTGGGATTTTGACTTGGCAGGTGTTTGGTACAGCAGAGTTATCAGATTCCTCTGGTTTGGGCTTAGATAGCACTAGGCAGTTGGGGAAGGCTCTCAGATAAGGATAAAGCTTAAAAATCTAAGGTTCACCTTATTCTAACTCCCTTTCCGCACAGCATGCCCTCAATACCTCTTACAGTTTCAGTCACGCTGTGTCCGATTCCTGAAACCAAAAACTCTCGTGAGCCCCAGGATCTTCCTTCCTTCTAGGAAGCAGTTGCTATGAAGCTTTGAGACAGAAGAAACACAGGGTGAACCAAGCTAAAGAGATGCTATGGTGAGGTCATACTGCTTTCAAATAGAAAGAACTAGTCTGAAATAATTTATAACATAGTCATCTAAGAGAGTGATGTTAACCAGGAAATTGAGAGGTGGGAGTACTTATAAACTCCACCCTGATCCCAAACTCCTTCCACGAGCCCAGAATAGCTGGTGTTACTACTAATACGATCTGCAGTACCACATTTAAACATGGTTAACATTTAAATTTAGGTTTCATAAATTACACCCTGTAGAGATGGAGAGAGACAGCTCCTATCTCTTTGAGGTATTGTTTCATTTGCAAATTCAAGCAGATGGTGCACGAGCAACTAATGACTCAAAAATCACCCCTAAAAATAGTCCAGAACAAGGTGTGGATTTATCAGGGAAGGAGGGAACAGAAAAGGCTTTACTTCCCGTTCCCATTTCTCTGGCATCTCCAGGCATTCAGCTCCGGACAGTGCAAGGCACGTGGCACCCGAGGGACCCACAGGGCTGTGCAGAACCGAGCACCACGGGCTGCTCCCCATCTGCAGCCTCCTATCCACGCACCTCTCCCTGGCCGTCGCGCAGAGGAGAAAACCAGCAGTGGGGAGGGAAAGGGCTCAGCATTCCCCTCTTCCTCCACACTAAGACCACATCCACCCCACACAAACCACTCTGGGCAACTATGTCTCCTTAAACCGCATCCAAAATTGCTTGGCAGAGCCATGTGATGCTACCAAAACTCAGAGTCTCCCAGTCGAGTGGGTGGTAGTTCATGAACACCGACTTTTCCAAGCAAATTCTGTAAATACCTGTCACTGTTTTCTCATGAAGCAATACATTGCACCATACTGTACTTCCAGCAGGAAGCCAAATTTGCTGTCATTCCTCTGCTTATAACGATCCAGTTGCCTTGTGTCTGACCACACTAGTACAAACTCGCGCGGGGAGAGAGCCTCCCTCCAGGACTTGTCGCTGGGGTCTGAGCAGGGGTGAGGTGCATCAGCGTTAGCAATGTCTATGCGGGGGGAAACCTGCTGTGCAGCCGCGTTATGTAAATCATAAATCCCTCCGAGTGACAAGCCTGTGTTTGTACAATGCCTAGCAGAAGGCACTGTTCACAGCTGTCCCCAAAGCGATGCCATTCTGAAGTAATAAATATTAATAACCACTGGTTAAAGTTTCCTGCACAGGTAAAGCCGCGGCTTGAAAGAGTAAAATGTTTCTGCATGAAAAGCAGGAGGGCCTCTGGTGATTCAAACAGTTATGTGATGGTATTTACTGTATAAACGCACACAGAAAATGTATATTAAATACCACTTCAGTTGTCTCTTTGGAGCCAGAAACTCCCCCTCCACTATACATCTTGCTCTCTTGTTCATATCAGGGGTTCCTCCAGCTCTGCTTCTCACCTCCTTGTCCTCTAATGCTGAATAACTAGAAAGAAAGCAGTCTCCTCCTCCATTTTCATTAATGGCACAGACTGCTGCCACAATGTTATCTGATTCCAAACGTTATACTTAAACCGCTATTGGTGGCTGATTTGCTGGACTATGCTTAGTCTTTTCTTTTTGGGTTGTCTTACCTGTTTATTATGCAATAAAAATAGTTGCTGCTGGGGCCCATGATTCAACCACTCCTGACATATATTATTTCAATGAACCACAGTTCTTTTCCCTGTAACAAATGCAGCTCTAAATTTGTTAGAGCTTGCCTAGGCTCATACTGTGTTTGTGTTTCTAACCTTCTCTTATGGCATTCTAAATAAAAATAATGTTGAAAAATAGAGGAAAATACATGCTAATTATATGCAATGGCCCAGAACAACAAAGTTGCACCAAAATGCATTAGGTGAGGATCTGGCTTTGTCAGCAGGATGAAGTGAACAGGCTGAGGAGTGAATTCTAAAGGAAGAGAGAAGAAGCCAACCTCTTACGCCACCACAGTCTCACTACAGCTTATAAGAGGTGTGTGGATGACCTGGTACAGACGGAAAGTCTGCCCATGGTAAATAAACCATAAAGCCAAATTCCCTGCTGGCAGAGTGATGGTGTAGAATGATTTACTACAACTCCCCTAACATTCATGATACTGAGGGAGATGCCAGCATTCTGCTTCATTAACCAGTCATTTTGATTGCATCTTTTTTTTTTTTTTAATTCTAGTAATTTTCTCTTCTTTGCAATTATACTGGGATTCTACATCCCTCTACATAAATTATAGCTTTCTCTTTGAGAGGGAGACTGGCCACATAAGCTGGAAACACACTCTCCTCTGAAGCCAGAACCTGAAGGTAAAGAGTTTGAGCAGCAAGCCTAGTCTAATTAAAAGATTATCTTTACCTTGCTCCCACAATGAGCTGGTTCCTGTTGGCATCCAGTGCAAGCTGAGAAAAGTCATGCACACCTGGATAGGTGAAATTCGACACCCAGGGCTTCAGATCTGCAACGACAATGAAAAAGCAGAAAACAATAAAGCTGCTCTAGCAGTGAGTTCACCCAGACATCCACTAATGGATTTCCTACAGAGTTATCTGTCAGGGGAAGGATAATTAATAATCTATTTAAAGGGTTACTATTTATTCTCATCCTCCACAGAATGTGCAAAAATTGCACATAAACGCGGGGCTGTCTCAGCAGTTATTTTCACATCCAAGATGGGAGTGTCAGCACTGGCTCCAGAGAAAACGGCAGCTTGCTTTCACTCCTGTCAAAACTGGGGGGCCAGGGTTAAGCAGTGTAAGGGGACAAGGCTCCCCCTGTAACACCTCCACAGCCTTGCGCCTTCTACGGTAAGCAAAGGGAAACTGTTGCCCTCCAGAAAGGGAAAGTGGGATTAATTGGTTGAAAACTGGGTTACAGTAGAAGACTCAAGACCCGACTGCCGCAAAGACAGGTTTCACCTTCTTTTCTAGGTTTTAGGTTCTGTTCTAGGCTTCGCTTTACCTGGTGTTTGGGATCCCCCTCAATTAAAGCCTTTCTTAACCAAGATGAGGGTGCCTATCACAACGCTGTGGTAGCTAAGAGATTCCAGAGGCTTGAAACCGGTTCTGTCAACTAGCTTGGATCTGCCAACCTAGACACTTGTCCAAACTGCAATCACACAGGTTAATGCAGAGCAATAGATCTGGATAAACTACACTCATGGAGACAAAGCTCTTCTTACAGAGGCTACATCTATGAACGCAACATCTATTGACAGATCTACAGCAAGATAGTCCTGACGTAATAAAAATACACCTGTTTTAAAAAAAGAAAAAAACTAAAAAACTACTTTTAGGGTACTCTCAGCTCTTATGCTAGAGATTTTCACTGTCTCACCTTACACCTTTACTGCACGAAATAACTGGGGCTTGATTAATGTATACCTTTCAGAAAGCCATCTGCTTTTACTGGGAGGACTTCTCTTGGGAATTTGTTCCAACGTTTAAGTACTCTGGCTGTTAAATACACAGATAAGGCCAGACATCTGAGGGAACAAGGCACAAATGACATCAAATCAGTACATCTGAAATCCCTCTGTGACCTAGGGACAAGTAACCCTGCCTCTTTCAAGAGATGGATGTTGAAGATCCAGGAGGCTCAAAGCTTTGAACATGAAGGGTACGATCTTCTGGCCTCATGCCAACAGGAGCCCAAGGCAACATTGCCCAAGGCAATGATCCGATGACTCATAACAATAATGATGCAGCTATGTTCGGACCAGTTCAAAAGAGCTCTGAGAAAGCGTGCCCCCTTGTCATTTCATGTGCCCAATGATAAATTGAGACCTCTCACTGAAGACAGCCAAGCTTGAACATTTTGGTCTAGGCATTAGTTCCCCCCTTCCACAGGAGTGAGATGACAATGCTGACAAGAGTTCTCATTGCTTACAAGGCCTCTGGCATCTTGGCATGCTTTGCAGGATTACAGATGTGTAAGGGTTTAAAACCCTTGATGTAGGGATATTTTGGGGGCAATCTCAAGCCTCTTCTCCTTCCAGGACAGATGAAAGCTAACTAAGCCCTTGAGTTACCAAAACCTTGAGAAAACACATACTAAAGTCCCTTCGGTTCAATCTCTCCATGTTCTGCTTGTCTGCTTTCCTTCCTAAAGCAGGACCTTGCCATGGAGCTTCTGTCTCTGCTGTGGATGCCACAATGTCTCACAACCACCCCTAAGCCCCTGTGCCATGGGGCTGACCATCAGGCCTGGTTCCGCGCCCTGCCTGACTCAATGCTGTCAGGGTGCCTCTGACAACGAGGCCTCCATCCCCTCAATCCAAAATCCCTGTTGCTGGGAGCTGGAGGCTTCCAGCCCTTCTCAGCATTCCTGTCACACAACGTAACCACACACAACACATGCACCTCCTCTGCTCTTCAAGGAAAAGGCAAGAGTTAAAGAATAACTCAGCCAGTCTAACCTTTAAACATCAGCACCTCCTACACTCCTCTGGGACCCTTAATGATGTACTAGCACCAGGGAGGTACCGCAGTTTCACCTCTGGCATTCTCCTAACTAATGGGGCTCTGTCGTCTTTCCCTGTAGCTCTTTAGCTGTAGAGACATTTCTGAGCCAAGCGGCAGAACCAGCAACAACAACACCTTTCAGGCAGGTTAGCCAGCTGACATGTGCTGCAGATCTCCTGGCATTTGTGTTGGCTGACGGGGGTGGGATTAGAGGATTGCTATATAATGATGACATGTTTTAAGGATCCTGCTTTTAGGCCATGATTTCTCTTGTCATTTTACCTCCTCTCCTACCAACTTTTTCCTGCTAACTAACCCACTATTAGAGTGCAGCAGAAGGAAGAATATTTCCTCATCTGCTGCTCTAAGCAAAAGCTCCTCGCTTCAGAGAGGTACGCTCATCAGTTCTTCTTTTTAATGGCAAGCTCTGACAAATTACAGGTAAAAATAATTAAAAAAAAAATAAAGGCAGTAGGTGGCTTGAGTCTTTCCATGTTGGCTTAAATGTCAATCAAGCCCATGAAATAACAGGCAGTGTCTTGATTTCTATTACTACTGCAGGTGGTACAACTTATAAAGAAACCCTTCCCAGTTATTAAATTAAAGGCTGCAAGGCATGCATCCTCATAGCAAAATTAAGCTTTTAAAGGCATGTAGTTGGAGATTATTAAACCCAGCATGGTCTCAGCTAAGAATGTCTAACTGTGAGTTGTCAGAATTAATGCCAAATGGCACGTTTTCCTTCCCAACCTTCTTTCTTCCTGTTAGAGGAAAGGGATAAAGTGCAATGGAAATCAAGAAAGAGACAGGACATGGGTCTTTTTTCATCTGACACATTCAAATCTACTGCTCTGACCACAAGCATCCCTAAGGACAGGTCCAGGTTTTCATTTTAAAACAAGCTCAGTTCTGCTAGGTAAGTGCTGCCCTGGGCCTATCCCATATTAGCTGAAGTTTACACATATGGACCCAATGAACTCCAGAGTTTGCTTGCATTTGACCTTTCTCAGAAGGCTGATTTTTCCAGTGCTCTTTAATTTGGCTGGAAACCTTCGGTGCTGGGGCATGTTTACATTTGCAAAAGTATCTGTTTAAAAACAGTATGAAAAATTAAAAACCAAGGCCCTGGCTTTGCATGTCGGCAGCAGGAGCTGGAAAGCTAGGAACCGAATGGCTTAAGGGCAAAATGCTCATCAAGGCCTCCTTTGTGCTCCTCATCTCTAATCATTTCCAGGGGGTTAAAGATCCATGCTCTCACTTCCTCCACATTAGGACCAACAAACAAAAGTTTAATAGTTTCCAAACCCGTCTTGCGCCAGCCATATGATTCAGAGCCGCTAAAGCTCTCCGAGTCCCTCCAAGCTCAAGGTGGTTCAGGTATCCAGCTGCAAAGAGCACAGAGCTGCACAGGAAATGTAAGTCTGCAGATGCAGCTGTGCTCATGCTTTCATGAGTGCATAAGACAAGGTGAAAAAACACCCTCTGCCATTTCGGAGGGTGGTCCCTGCAGCCTGCTAGCACGCTGCTCTGCACCAATTTCCTGAGAGTACAGGATAGGACTGGGACAAGGATCAGTCAGCTGCACAGAGGACCGCGTGCCAGACTGAAGGAGCTGGGTTTAAGGGGCCTGATCCAGAGGCTCTTCAGATCGTTTCCACCGAGCTTGATGGGTTTTGGATCAGCTTCTAAAGACTTGTGGTAGACCTGGTAATACTTGAGCCTCCGTCTCCTCAAAACCAGCTGTTCCCTACCTCACCCTTATCCCAAGTGTTTTGGAGAAAAGAAGTATGTGAGCACTGAGTTGAGACTCCCCTGCCTGAAGGACAGCATTGAGTGCTTCATCTCATTGGTGCCCAATTGCAGTGCCCATCACCAGCAGCCTGCAGCAACTTCGTGCATCCAGCCACACACCACACAAGAACAGAGGTTAAATGCCCATGCTTTGAAGTTGCAAAGCCATTTCTAGGTGCAAGGAGCATGGCTAACCCTGTGCTATTCAAGAGCACCTCTTCCGGAATAATTCACAGCATGAGTTCTCCTAGTCTGGAACAAAAGAAGCTAAACTAAACAGGAGCAAGGATTCTTCGTGCAAAATAAGGGTATACCCACACATATAAACCACCCATATATGTATCTGCAGTAGCTTTGATATGAGTAACAGCGTGACTGCATGAGCAAAAAACTCAGCTTGAATTACTTGTCCAAGTATTTCTCCTGTGTTTCGGGCAGAGCTTGCTTCCCAGCATGAATACCACACTGACAACCGCAAAATCATTATCTATATTGGACTCAGCTAGTTGAAACGTAATTCAGGCATCAGGTGTGTGCCCTCTTCATACTTTTGAGTAGCTGTGTAGTCACACGTTAAGACTGTCCAGCTGTGGAGTTATTTTGGAACAGCCCCTTGTAACTAGTGCCAGGTGTGGGCAAGCTGTAACTCATATTGAAGGTGTGCCACCATGTAGAAACATCAGTCCCCTGCTGGAAATGAGAGGATGGATTGCACAGAAAAGCTTCAAGGATATAAGAAGACAAACCAGAAGCAAGACCCAGGGACTCCATTCCAGAAAATACAAAGCAAACTAGAAACTTCTTTTAGACCAAAGATTTATATTATGTAAAGCCCCTGTAAAATAAGCTGATTCAACAATAAAGGCTTGTATAATAAAGCAAAACATACATATAGCACTGGTAGCCTGGCAAACTCAATGGGCCTAAATTAATACCTGTTCTGCACATATTCAGACTTACTTTGGGGCAGCATTAACTTGAGTGCTTCCCTTACTGCCTCAAGATGCCCTCTTAAAAGCTCTCTTCACTCAGTTTACTAGTCCATGGTACGTTTACTTTGTGAGTGTGAAAATTTCAGCAGTCATGCAGAGGCCCAGATTACAGCCTTGACCCCTGCAACTGTGAAAACTCCTCTCATGAAGCCTTTTGGCTCGCTTCAGCCCTGGCACAGGGCAAACCAAGTTTAGAGACCAGTAGGTACTCC